TATCTATCTATCTATCTATCTATCTATCTATCTATCTATCTATCTATTCTTCTTTTTTCCAGGTCATAGGGAGGCATGGGACACTCTGAACAAACTGCAAGTCCACCCAGATAAAACAAGTGCAAACTTGCACTTAATTAAAATAAAAATGTTATAACAGTGAAGGATAAAAATAAAACGGTACTAAATGATTGAATTTTGTAGTTTAGAAACAACGACACACAAGCAGACAGACACGGACCTCAACAGCGATGTGGACCTGCTCACATGACGCAGGTTTGGGCGTGGTAGTCTTGTCTTGAAGCAGGGAAGGAGAGAGAGTGTAGTTCTGGTGATAGGTCCAGGTGGAGTTAGCCAGCAGCTCCTCCTCTTGATATGTTGTTCTGTCGGTCCCGTTCATCCTCGCTGTGGTTATTGTCCAGAACACTGAACTTTTATCTGCTTTCATATTCAAACAGTCCTATAGAGAAAACAAGTCACAAAGAATGTGTAAAAATCAGATCTAACATGGTACATCAATGTTGATCAGTTTGCTTAATACAAAAGATCGTACAGTGGTGCAATAAATACATATTTAGTAGATTAAGGTAGCAGAAAAAAACGTGTCACAATAAATTTAAAGGCCTACCATTCCTTAAAAAAGAGCATATTGCCCGTCACCTTTAACGCATCTTTAGAATTAAATCATCAGATTTTGAGAAATAATAAAATTGTAGCTATTTTGGTCAAACATGGTCATTGAGTTTACTGGTCTGATGTGATATTGTGAGAATGTGATACCTCCCTGGTGAGCAGCACTCAGAGCACATGCTAGGAATGACTCTCAGCTAAAACCACATAAACTTTAAATCTGTTTTTTTTTTTTGTTTATGAAACTGACTAAATAAAATACCCGAAACCTATTGACATATTTAAAAACTTATCAAGCCCCAGGGGAATTTTTTTTTTTTAAATTTAAGAACAAAGTGTAAATGTTGAGATTAAAGTGTTAGCTTATTTGTTCCTATTATTGTGTTCAGTTGAATTGAATTGAATTAAATACTCAGGATTTTTGGTGCTCTAGGCTGGTCTAGACTGAAGTACCATAAAGCTTTTGTTCTTATAAGTGATGCTATTGTTAGCATGTCTCAGTTTTCAGTATTCAATCAATCAATCAATCAATCAATCAATCAATCAATCAATCAATCAACCATCCAATCAACCAATCAATCTGTCAATCAATCAATCAATATAACTATATTGTCCATACTATTTCATGAGATAGAGATTTCTCTTTGATATCTGGCTCATACATACAAAACAACACAAGTTAAAAATGCCATAAAACTTTTAAAAAGCTTTGCTAACCCAATAAAAACATTCTAAAATACACAATTCATTAAAAACATAAAACATTTTAGCAGACAATGTTTTGTCATGTGAGGCTACGTTTAAATAGGATCTTATTAAGGACCCTCACAGCAGAGGGAACAAATGACTTTTTGTATCCATTTGTTTTTACCAGAGGAACCACCAGTCTTCTTGCAGATGGTACCAACCTGAATAATGGTTGCAGTGGATGAGTTGGGTCATTGTATTTGCTTATATTACATTATATTGCTTTATCTTCCCGATTCTGACTATACAGATCTGTATGTTGTTGAGGACCAATTCTTTTACTACCTAGTTTCACCACTCGGGACAACTTGTTCCTAGCTCACTGGACTGCAACGAGTTGGCAAATAGTCATGAATGCAGTTTTGCAAGCTGTGCACGCAAACATAGTTTGATTTTCAAAAGCTGCTCATTCAAAGATTTTAGAATGCAGGTCTGACACTAAGGTCGTTTTCACACCAGATAGTCTGGTAGACTCAGTTCAGTTCGGGACCAATATTCATGAGCTTTTGTTTACATTTGAGCTGGTGCGTTTGCATTCACACTGCACTGTGCAGTCGAGTCAACCTGTTGAACCAACCTGTTCCCCCGCTCGCCTGTGGGGGCGCTGCACCAAGAACTACTGAAAGAAACAACACAAAAACCTCTGAAGACACGTCTTCTTCTTCTTTTGTAAATAAAAACAAAAACGAAGTGGCATCAAGTTTTAGTAGTTTTAGGAGTTATATTTTGTCATTTTTCAAAAATGGACTTAGCATGAGCAGAAGATGAGACAGAAGACCATGGAGAATATTGTTTTTCACACAAGGCAGCTGACGGCTCCATATAAGGTCAGAGCAATGAGTGTTTGTTTGTCCTGCGGAGCGGGGCCCGGTCTGTTTACATTCACACTGTACTTGAACCGCGCTGGACATCTCTTCTACCGGACGGGTGCATTCACACCAGCCCTGTTTAGTCCGCTTTAATCGAACTCTAGCTCGTTTTCCTAGAAAATCCGGTTCATTTAGGGAGGTGTGAACGCGCCATCGAACTCTGTCACGGAACAAAAAGTCAAACTCTGGCCCGGGCTAAAACCTAGGTCTCGGTCCGGTAGAAGCGAACTCCAGCGCGGTTCGAGTACAGTGTGAATGTAAACAGACCGGGCCCCGCTCCGCAGGACAAACAAACACGCATTTCTCTGACCTTATATGGAGCCGTCAGCTGACTTGTATGGAAAAACAATATTCTCCATGGCCACCTGTCTCATCTTCTGCTCATGCTAAGTCCATTTTTGAAAAATGACAAAATGTAACTCCTAAAACTGCTAAAACTTGATGCCACTTCGTTTTTGTTTTTATTTACAACAGAAGAAGAAGAAGTGTCTTCAGAGGTTTTTGTGTTGTTTCTTTCAGTAGCTCTTGGTGCAGCGCCCCCACAGGTGAGCGGGGGAACAGGTTGGTTCAACAGGTTGACTCGACTGCACCTTAGGTCGTTTTCACACCTGATAGTCCGGTAGACTCGGTTCGGTTGGGGTCCAATATTCATGACATTTTGTTTACATTTGAGCTGGTGCGTTTGCATTCACACTGCACTGTAGTACACTGCACGGTAGGGCAGCCGACTTGGAACTAGAAAGTTGCAGGTTCAACTTCCTGCCATGCCCACATGCTGTGGTATCCTTGAGCAAGACACCTAATCCCTAATTGCTCCCCCAGGTGCTTACATAGCTGCCCACTGCTCCACCTGGGTGTACCTCAGGTGTGATGGGTTAAATGCAGAGAACTAATTTGATCATTTTATAGAAACATACAATGATGACGACACATAGTACTTTACTGTGTTTTTCAATGAAGCACAAGTAGGCATAAATATATATAGACCACAACGCATCACAAAATACTGACTTTGAGCATGCATGTTAGTACTTGTAAAAAAGATAAACTATGCAAGACTTCAGCTAAAAATCTTACATTGTTGCAACTTTGAATCACCAACTAGTCGCTCAACAGTTGAAGATTCTCCCTTGAGACTTCAATCTTTCAGAGATAAGAGCTTGTCATACCAAACACCATTCATGATGCGTAGGCAAACAACAGATATTTGAATCTGTATTTGGTATACTCAGCTGACTCTCAGGATTCACACAAGTGATCCTGAGACTCTCTCTCATGTTTGTGCACAAAAGAAAAAAAAAAAAAAATCAATAAGTCAAGAAAAGCCAGACAGCTGTAATGGCACAAACTTGATTAGGCGTTGTAATCAATGTTTATTTGTTTTCTTGATTGCTAGGAAATTATTCACTTCAGAAATTATTATTATTTTTTTTTTTATAAATCAACAATTCTTAGAAGCACATTGATAATGAAACATCAGAGCAGCAGTGTTGTCTCCTCTGGCCAAATAAAATGGGACTGACATTTGTTTGGAACATTTTTCTGTGATTATGAAAGGGAAACGACAAAGGGTCATGACACGATGCTTTTTGTGAGTGGGGCACATAAAAAGCCTCAGTGTTACAATCTGGGCCTCAGCTGATGAGGTGTGATGAGCTCAGAGTTGCTTTAACTCATCCCTGCAGCCAAGACTTTTAGGACTCGTGACTCAACAAACAGGTCCTTTCAGTAAAATCATGTGACACTGTTTGTGTTGCTTATGTATTGCACAGCACAGAGGTGATGTATGGTGTGTGATGTCCTTGAAATTTCTCGGTAATGTGACGATTCAGGAATTTCAAAGAGGTTGAGATAAGATTTTGTGGTGAGCTAGTGGCGAACACCTCTGAGCAGAGTTAGACAGTAAACTAAAACTTTTACAACTGCCATCTCTAGTTTTGTACTCAACTCTGTCCCATTTCAGAATGTACTGTATGGCCCTGAATTAATGCATACTGCCTGCTGGGTTTTATAATAGAGTTCATATTTACCTCAGCTACAGTCATTCTGGTCAATCCTTGTGAATAACATTATGCACAATCTCATTTGATACTGTGAGATATCACAAGAAGTGATAATGCTGTTATATGTGCCAAAAATGGCT